ATCCTTATTCAAAAATTTAAAAAAATATTCTTATATTACTGCATAAACTTTTCATCGTAAAGTTTTCATCTCTACGACGAAAGATGCACCATAAAATTCCAACCGCATAATCTTGCTATTACGTCTTTTCTATCCAAATCTCTACAAAATTTTTACGAAAACTTTGACACTTTATATATATATATATATATATATATATATATATATATATATATATATATATATATTCTGGATCTAATCAGGCAAATCTCCTGTACATGATGGTAAATAAATAAATAAATAAATATATATATATATATATATATTCCGGATCTAATCAGGCAAATCTCCTGTACATGATGGTAACTCAGTACATGTCCATGGATTTAGAAGCTGTGTTTGGCTGGTCAATATCTTCCCTTCTGAACTGCTCTTAAAAGCTAAAGTCTACTGACAGAGTCACAGAGCTATCATCACAACCCACAAAGCCCACATGTCATCTTTTACTGTGATGAAGTACAGAAGATGGATGATGAGCCACAGCTCCGTTCCGTCAATGGTCCCTCCCATGTCCGTCTGCTAGCTTGGCTGCTTTTACTGCTTACTGTTAAGATACAGGACAACCTAAGCGTGGTCTTATTCTATCCATGACTGAGAGAAGGGCTCTTCTTGTTGCTTCCCACGCTGTTTCAGTTATTCCTGTCTCCTCTTCAATGGGTCGAGGTCGAGCCTTCTCTACCGCAGTTCTTCTTGGGAGTTGATCTGACATCTGCGGAAGCAGATGGCTCAACAGGTGAACGCATCCTCCTTCTATTTCCATGGGGATTTCTCTGCACACTCTCCCTAATTCATGCATGATACTGCTAATACTCCTTTCTCTTGTTCTTCTCCATTTCTTCTCTTTGTCGATCCATGACAGGAAGGAGGTTGGCCTCTTGGGTTGCAGCCAGTGAACGTGAGGATCGGTTTAGTCAGGAACGTTGGCTTCTCTGGCTCTCATTCCTTCAGGACTCTCATCACTGCTTCTCCAAGCTCATCTTCTAGCTCTTCATCTGGCTTAGATACGGAGGTAAGAACGAACATTTTCGTACTGCTTTCCCATCGAAGACTTCTCGAGGCCTGTCTTCTTTAGGGGGATAAAGAGTACATGTTCTTCCACCCTGTCACTTGGTTTCTTTATGTTGCCCTTTGCATGCCTTCCCTCATGATAGCCTCACAGCCATCAGGCACGCCTCATTATTCCACATGGTTGTCAAGATTGATGTGTCTGTTCATTTCGTTTAATCCCCCCTCCCCTTTTAATTCTCTGGAAATATTGTAGAGTATGCTACAGTGGTCCTCTCTAATCTTTGAACAACACATCTTTCCACATGTCTCTCTGCGCAGTCCACCGGATCTTTCTTTCATGATCGTAGCAGCACCCTCGGCAGCCTCATCGGCATCACCAGCATCCTCGATCTGTCGAACAGGTCGCTTCGGAGAAGCAGGCAACAGGAGAATCCAAGGGCGAACAAGAACCGCAAGACCAAAACCTGGTTCTCACTGTGCGCGAGAACTCAGCTCAGCGGCGACGTAACCGACGCTTCTCCATCCCTTGGCTCCTTCCTCGAGGCAGAGAGGAGGGCTAGCAATGCTCGTCAGGTGAGGAATGGTGTTTCGATCACGTATGTGCTCGAAGGGTTGGCCGAGAGCCGACCTGCACCGGAGCCGAACACTGTCTTCTCCGATGGCCTCGTTCTTCCACCTCCTCCTCCTCCTCCTCCTCCGTGCCCTCAAAGCGGGACTCATGCAGTCCTGGGTCTTCATAGTGGCCATTGCTTTGCATTGATGTTTCCATGTGTGGCTGCTCAGTCTACAGAATGAAGGATACCATCAAGCTCAAATCCATTTTCGATGGACAAAGCAAATTTAGTTGCATCATTCACCAAGAAAAAGTACTTGTAAGATTCTTCACTGTGGATTTTTATGTGACTTAAGGAATTCAATACCCCAAAGGAAGTCATATTTATTGATTTGCATCCTCATTTATAGCCATGCATTTGTATTGGGATTGCAATTTCACAGTTGCAATGATCTTGTCATTCTCAGTACTTATGGTCTGACTTCCAAACAGGTGAGATCTACATACAGTGGCTTGAATTGACCACATTGTTGCAGTCTACACCAACAAGCAATCCAAAGAACTGCTTCGTTACTCCGTCTCATTACCTCACGCCTTTGGCGTAAGAATATAAAATGATATATCTAATATAAAATAAATTCTTGATTACCTTTTATAAAAAAATATTTCTTTTTAAAATAATTTAATTAGATAATCATACATTTAAATGCCTAAGTTATTAGAAAAGGATCCAATATATACACTTAAATGCTTAATTTATTAGAAAATGATCCAAGATATATTTAACATCTGCACTTAATAATTTTTAATTAATTAGTGAAGAATCACACTTATCACCTTCATGTAAATGTTACATTAGCCCAATCTATGCACATCTTTTTAGCCAAAAAATAAAAATACATATGGCTTAAATTAAAAGCTATATTTATATTTAAATGCCAATTTCAAACGTATAAAGATAAAGCTAATTAAATCTGAGCCATCCGAAAAGTCCATGACGATTGGACGGTCGAGATGTAGTTAAAGGGTATTTCCGTAAATAAATTCTTCACCGCGGGTGTTAAAAGTCGGCGACATATTCGGTTCGCCTTCTTCCGTCGTTAGGGTTCTTCGGCGGCCGCTACGGTTTCTTCGGCTTCCCGGCGGTGCGAAACCCTTTCCTTTTCTTGTTCCTCTGTACAAATTTTTGTTCCTTTCCGTGGTAAGGATAGAAATTGGATTCTGATTGGCGTCTACCTCATAAAATTTTCTTGTATACATTCTTTCTCGTGATCTTTTTTCCCCAATCTTAGCTAAGCTGAGTTTTGATTCGATAACAAGTTTATGGTTTCGTATATTTCGATCTATTATTGTGGATCTTTACCTCTGAATTCTAACGTTCTTTTTGAGTAGACCGAAGTGATGGCTCCTCCACAGCCGAACACCGGTCTCTTTGTGGGACTGAACAAAGGTCATATTGTCACCAAGCGAGAGTTGCCTCCTCGCCCTTCGAACAGAAAAGGGGTACGTAGACGACTGGCTTCACATTTTCTTTTTGCTGATATTCGATGGAAGTCTGCTAAACTCTGAAACAAAAATGTTGAATTTGGAACAGATCTCTTTCCCTTTTTGATGCATAAAGTAACACGCTTTAATCGTATCATACATACCTAAGTGTCAGATCAGAGAGTTGCTATTACTTATTAAGTTGTTGATGATATGTAATTGTGTATTTCTTTAATACAATAGAATGTAAGCATCTGGTGGGATTTGAGTTGTCAACAAAACTGGTGTTTCTGTTCCTAAAGTTGAGTTGCTTGGAGTCCTCTTTTGATGTTCTCAATAATTTTAGTTCTCTGTAATGATATGTAGTGGTGTATTTCTTTAATATAATAGAATGTAAGCATCTGGTGGGATTTGAGTTGTCAACAAAACTGGTGTTTCTGTTCCTAAAGTTGAGTTGCTTGGAGTCCTCTTTTGATGTTCTCAATAATTTTAGTTCTCTGTAATGAGAGCTTAAACAATCTGCTTTCTTTGGCAAGAAAGTAATGGTTCAGGGAAGAAAGAAGGGTATAAAGCCCCTTGTAGTGGTAGGAATGAATGAATCTCACATTTCTCTGTAATTTTAGTGCTCTGTAATGGAGTCCTCTGTAATGAATGCATCTCACATTGCTGGTTGTGATTCTTAATGTACATTAATCTAAAATTTGATTATCGAAGGGAGTTCCACTAAAAAGAACCAATCCAATTGTGCTTGTTGGTTCCTGATCCAATGTTGTGCTGCATGTTTCAACTTATGTTGTGATTTAACTCTCTTTTTCAGAAGACAAGCAAAAGAGTGCATTTTGTTCGAAATATAATCAGGGAGGTTGCTGGATTTGCTCCTTATGAGAAGAGGATTACTGAGTTGCTTAAAGTTGGAAAGGACAAGCGTGCACTAAAAGTGGCAAAGCGAAAATTGGGTACGCACAAACGGGCCAAGAAGAAGCGTGAGGAGATGGCTAATGTCCTTAGGAAAATGAGGTCAGTGTTCAAAATTTTCCTTCTCATTTTTTAGTTTCATAGTATTGGAGTTTGTGTCATATTGAGGGTTAATTATGAGTTCACCATAGACAAATGTATTGTAGGTATCTTTTGTTGCTAGAAAATTTTAAAGTGATTGGTGGACTTGGTTATAATTCAATTGCCTGAATCAATTATCTGATGATAGTTCATACATAGGCATCTTGCATGAATCACTTAAGCAGTCTGTCTAATTGCTTAGAAATGGCTAAGAAACAACATGGAAAAGGTTGTTAATCCACAAGTTTTCACACCAGTTAAAAATCAAGTCTAGGTTGTTCTGCATTTGGTGTCTGCTTTCTATTACGACATATAATGGGGTTGAATATCTATTGAGTGTTATTACTTGGCATAATTTTCTGTAACTTATATACTAATATGTGGTTTATGTGGATTTTAAATACTCTTATGTTGTTTCATTTCATGTGGTCGTATAACCTGCAGGTCTGCTGGAGTGAGTGACAAGAAGAAGTAATGCAGTTCATAGCTTCGTTGTCGTAGCAGGAGAAGATGTGCCAATAATTAGACTCCGTAGGGTGACTTCTCTAGCTTCTTGTTCCTGTGTTCTTGTAGCTGAGTGCCTGACTATTGAGGATATATATGAATTCAAGATCTCATGTAGGATCTTTTATTTTGATGTGGTCCAGATATATCTGTTTGATTAAAAATTAGCTACATTCGGATGGCTGTTTCATGGTTCTTTATTCAGAAATCGGCAGTATCTTTGATTTGGAAAATTAAAAGTATCTGCAAGCTGAGTATGAAGTTCATGCTTAATATATGCACACAGCTTGTCTTCGATGACATTCTTTTGGATCTTGCAGCAGGTTTGCTGCGATCTTAAACAATTTCTTAACAGCTTTTGGGCTGTATCACAGGCTTTCATATAGATTCTCTGCCATCAGTGTGATAGCTTTTCTTTTCCTTCATAATCTGCGTAATTGCTTATTTTTGTCAGAGCATTTGAGCAGCGTTGCTGCACCATTCTGCATTCACCAGAAAGAAACTTTGCAATGGAAGCAAAGAATCAGTCATCAGTGGAGCATTAATTTTTTATTGATGAGACAGTAACAGTTTTGAGTAAAGTATAAACAGATGCGGATTGATTCTTCAGTAAAAAAAAAAAAATCAAAATTGGTCGCTTTATATCAATATTTAGAGAGATTTATTCTTAATTTGAGTGAAATAATAATAGGATAATTAGAATAAAAATAATTTGACGTCAATTATTTAGATGAAAATTATTATAATTTTTTTAATCTATTCTATCAAATTCAAAAAGAATATGACACATTTTACCAAGAAAAAAAAATTATTATTGAGCTTTTATCAAATGACATGCCACTAATTAGTTTTTTATCTTGAGATTTTTTTATTAAATTGATGAAAAAGAATATTTCAAAACCTAAGAGTTTAGGAAGTAGTTTCATTAAGGTCATAAAAACACCCCACGTTTTGGTCCACTTCGACGGCCAACAAACACATAAATAACACATTCCGCCTCACATTTACTGTCACATCGCGTGCATGAGACAGGTACGCTCGGGCAACAATAATAATAATGAGCAGCAGCAGCGGCAGTAGCAAAAAGTTCGGGGGAGGCAGGCCACCGACGGGCACGCCGTCCCTCGCCTGGTCCTGCGTCGTCGTCGTCGCCTCCCTCCTCGCCGGTGCCTCTCTCGTCCACAACATCTACAAGCCTGACCTCGTCAGTCTTCCTCCTCTCATCTTCTCTTGCTAGAAATAGCACGTCGATTCTTTCGCCCGCCTTCTGCTCGACGATATGTCGATGAGAAGCCCGTTCGCTTTTGCAGACTTTGCCGCCGGTGGATCCTCCCGCAGCCGGCGAGAATAAGCGAGACGACCCCAAGTAGCGAGCTGGATCGATCAGTGGATTAGATCTTCGTAGTGAATCGTTTTGCTTGTTTCGATTTAAGCCAACAAATTAGTCCTTTCGTTTTAAGACTTGCGCATAGCTGTAGCGTACTCTCCTTTATATTGTAAGAAACGAGGGCTGCTCTTTTGCTTCTCGGATCCGTACGGGAATAGTAATGTTGGGCCTGAGGTTCCCGGGGCGGCGGAGATCGTCATGGGAGCTCCAGCGATCTGCTCTCGTCTCTTGCTCCCTCGTCCTCCTCTCTCAGTTCGCCCTAGCCATGGTTCCCCGGCTCTTTCCTTTCCTCTCGCTCCTCGCCATGCTCCCGATCGCAGGTCTGTCTCCATCTCTCCGTCCGATTCGAGGTGTTGACCAAAAGAAGAACTTCTCTTCATAACTGACCCGATCCTGTTGCAGCTATGGTTATGGTGGCGACGATTCTCTTGGGCAGATGCTGGAGGCGTTTTCTTGGTATTTCTGCATCAGCTCCAGCTTTCGTCCTCTTCAATATACTATTCCTGTGGGGAGTTTATGTCAGCACGATTCGGCAAGGTAGTTTAAATTTAGTAGATCCGCTTCCAGGTGTTATGTGTGTGTGTGTGTGTGTTGCATAATTGTGACTTATCTTCTCTCGCAGCCATCCCTTCGTTATTGGATGCCATTCTCAATGCTGAGTGTGCTTTACTTCTGTATGGTCTTTATAGGTGAGCGTCGTTTCCATATGCTTTCCTTTATTTTTAGCTTACCTTTTAACTATCTACTTTGGATGCCTAATTATGGTGCGGTGGGTCAGTTTCCAGTGGGATGAATTGGAAATTCATTGTCTCTTTTATTTTATTTTCTTGTGGGCTGAATTTTAAAATATTTACATCTGAAATATTTAAGTTTGATTGGAGGGAAAGATCAACCTTAGCTTCGAGTGAATAATCTCGAATTATTTCCAATTTATGTATTGCTTCATTTTTTAGAGTGAAACAAAATTCATCTTTAACTAAATTTACAATAATACATTATATTAATATGTGAGTTTCGGTTATTTCGTATGACAACAATTCCCTCTTTTTTATTGTGGCACCACGGTCATGTTGTTGGTCATTCATTTCTTTATTGGTGCTGATGCACTGAAGATAGAATCCGTGACATGATATGCCTGATTTATTCTGTATGACAAAAATTTGGGAACATGACAATGTGTCTAATACCCACTAATTTTAACTGCATACAGCAACTAACTCAACAATGTAGTGAATCTTTAAGTTTTTGAGCTGCATTATAAGGCAGGCGTAGTGATCGTTTTACACTATGGTGACTTCAATATGCAGCAGTTACATGTAGTACTTATTGACTTATGTATCTTTTTTTTTTTTCAGAATACTTTCTGGTGATCCTGGAATGGTTTCTTATAGCTCTTCTCCTGTGGAGTCTGGCCAGAATGACTTTGCTGCTCTAAATGTTCTATATGAGGTTTATAATGAATTCTATATCATCCTTTCATATTTACTTAGATGTGCCATTTTAATCATTACAACTAGATAGAACCATATGATAAAAGTACTTGTATAAGTTCTGAAGGAAACTTCCAATTCTTGTTCCCTGGCATGTTCTATTTGCTAAAATACTATACTGTTTACCTAACCAATACTTGCATTATTTGTTATCTGTGCTACTGCTTTTGCAATACTCGCTTATATTATGCCCTTACTTGCTTGGCCTTTGATGCTCATTTTTAATGAATATTGTTGTAGTTCAGAAGTTGGGAGATGATGATTCTAAATACTTAGGCAAAAGCTTGGCGTGGCTTATTTCTTTTAACTGATTTGGTTTCATTTTTTGAACTTCTTTTAGCAGAACTCTCCATCATTTTCCAGAGTTAGATATTGCAAAAGTTGTAAATCAAGTATTAAGGGATTTGACCACCATTGTCCTGCTTTTGGGAATTGCATAGGTACTAAACATTTTAATTGGTCATTCATGCTGTAACTTGTGGGTAGTGGCTTGTTAAATGTAATGTGTTTCTCTTTTTTGCAGGTCGGAAGAACCATCGTCTGTTTATTATTCTTTTAGCTGGATTTCTTATTGCTGAATCCTCCTACACAATGTGTTCAACTAAGTGTATGTACTCACCTGCACAAGTCACTTGGTTAAACTTTCTATCTTAGAAATTATGATTGTTAAGGATAACTTATTTCATATATAGGCATGTGCAGTCATTAATTCTGCTGAATTCTGTTGAGTTTGACAAAAAATGTCATGGCAATGTTAATCGTTACATCTTTACATGATTTATTTAAAAGAGAAACCCCATAGCTCTTTTTGTGCAAATCTCAGAATACTTTAAATGAAAAAGATAAAACACTCTTTTCTTTGATCTTCTATTATATTTTCTTGCTGTTTTTATTATGGGTGTGGTCACATGCATATTCAACAAATGGTTCTAAGATTGAGAAATTATATGTTGTCAAGCATTTACAGTTAAAAATAGTAGGTGATTGTTAGAAATCTCTAATCTATCGATATAATTGTTTCTTTAAATTTATAATATTAATTTATATATACGGAGAAGTTATTGAAATAGGGAATTATGACTAATAGTAGATTTTGATTCCTGTTTATCTTTTGCTTTTCTATTACTGGATTTTAATTGGTAACTTTAGCGAGATGAAATTAGATCTTACAATTTATATCGGTAGGATCTTGCTCATAACAATATATCTAATCTTGGTTTGGCTAGATTTATCATATTATGATCTGTCTCCCATGGATATTGTTAATTATATAGGTACTTGAATTTTAGTATCATTGACTCTTTCTTTCTTTTCCAATTTACAGTTCTTACAAAGTCTGCTGATTCACAGAGGATGGAGGTATCCTTGCATCACAGTATTTTCTTTCTATCGTTCATATAAAATCATATTAATAACTGATTAACTTATGTGATGACGCTGATCTTAGTAAGTCCATTATATGCATTTGCAGTTTGTTCCATGAATTTTGTGAGTTGAGTAACCATGATGATTCTTTTTCCAAATGCTAGAATCAGGAAAACTTGAATGTCTTGTAGGAGTTCCCTTATAGTTAACCCTCAATTGGTTCTTCGTCATGGTTACAAGCAATAAGGGAAAGTATTCATATCTGTTCTTGAATGGATATCTTTAATTGCTGTCTTTTTGAGGGAAAGTAAATGTTGATTCCAAAAACTCATCAGACCGACGTTTCCCTGTGCAAGATCCTTCCAGATAACTTCGGTAAAAAACAGTTTTTGTCCAAGTTATTGTTCTGATGTCTGTATTGGAAATGCTTCTAAACAATACATTCAAAGAGTCCAGTGCCTCTTGGCAATCCTTATAGACAATTGTATAGTTAATTTTTGGATTTGGTTATCGAGATATAAACAACTAGAGATGAGTATAACGTACGAATTGATTAACTTATATCTCTCCACAGAGCATTCATGCTAGCAGCTTGGTCATCAGTACGACGCTTTTCTGCATCCTCCAAGTGCTATGGCAGGTCTGCTGCTGTATCCCTGACTTCTTGCAGAAAAATACTTATTTTCTTCTATAATAAGATCATGTGGACATCAAATCCATTCTATTCATGGTGAACTTATCTTGATACTGTAATTGCTGAATGATGAATGTGCATAATTTGGTAAATGCAATATTTATACATCCAACTGGTACCATAAGTTGGAACCATCAGTTTGTTGTATGGTTATGTTGTCAATCATTTTTGTACCTCCTTTCATCACCTGAATTTCACTCTATTCCCTTCCAGGGTCCTTCCTAACTCTTTGTTTCAAAGTGCATGTTTAACCTTTTCTCTTTTCCGAGAAATAGTGTCCCTCAAGTGATAAGGACCAATGACAATGCAACAGTCAAGTTGGTTTGGTTAGCTCTTCCTTTGAAGCTGTCCTTCATTATAATATTTGATATTCTTTCTGCCCTTCCATCAAACACTATTGATTACAGATTTCTGGTTTCAGGTTTAGTGGCAAAACCAAGCAAAAATATATGGGCATGTACCTAATTACCAGAATGCCCCAGACCTGTGATCTTGCCTCAGATAACTGTACCTGTTGTTTTAGCAGCAATCCAATATGGGCTTATGTTATCTTAGAAACTATAGCCCCTTGATATTCTAGTTATCTTTTCCTACATCTAAGGTTCCTAAATCAATTGCCAGAGCACACATTAGTTACATAAGAAAATTCAATATGTTTAGGGAAAAGGTAAAGCTTCCTGCATGATGGTTGTGCCTTACAAAATACAAATGCTGATTGTCTGCTAGTCTTTTATACATTCTTATCCGTTTTATTTATCTGCTATTTATTGAATTTCTGTTACCTAACAGATTTTATTCTCGTTTACTAGGTGGTATTCTTGATATGGCATATTTACTGCATCTGCTTCAACATTAAAACAGAGGAATGGGTAATCCTGAAAGTCCTGTTTCATAGTGCCTTGCTTCAAAAATTACATTTTTATTCCATGCTTAACTGGGGAAAATCAAATGCAGATCAACTGGAAGAGGTATCCTGAATTTCAACTTGTCATGGAACCTCAACCAGGTCATTTCCCATTTAAGCTTAATTTTCATTTCGTGTACTAATTACCTTTTTTTTGGCTGATGACCAAGTTCTCTTGTTTCATTTATTAGGGAGCCCTATTGTACAAACCAGGTTCACCAATCCGTATGATAAAGGTCTTCTTGGTAACATCCTAGACTTTATAAAATCAAAGGATTAAAAATCCATTACCTCTCTTGAAGCTACATACTACATGACTATCCTGTGTCGGAAGGTGCTGCATCTTATTTCTATGCCCACGATGTTGCTGACCATATCACCGATATCTTAAGTTTGAAATATCAGTGAGTTTCATTTCACTGAGCGTATGCTTGTGGATCTCCTAGCATCAAATAGTCTTCCTGCAGAGAGGAGAATCAGGCATTAGGTGTAATAGTGGAAAAGATTTTGTTTCTGTTGAGCAGCAGAGTGAAGTAAAGAAGATTACCAAAGTTTGATTGGCAGCTGAATCTCTAGAGTACAAATTGGTATGGAGTATTGATCTAGATGTAAAGATTATTACACATTCATCATTTGAGTATTCAGCTTTCTGCTCGGTATTTTTTGCGATATCATTCTGCTTTCAGCCATGTGTGTTTTACATCTAGAAATACTTGCATTGGTTTTTTCATTAGATTCTCTATGATTTGTGTTAGCTCTATTCTCATAAATTGTTTTGACAAGATAAACATGCAATGGAGTCTAGAAATGGATGTGGATTTTGATTGCTGACATTTCTATCACATAGAAATGTCAAAAGTTGACGGCTACATCACCCATATGCAATCATTTGTTTCGGGTAGATGTAGAGAGAAATGGTTCATTGAGTCTAAGAATCAGTAACTAAAACAAAATTGTTAGATCTATATATTTGATTTAAAAATTTAGAGATTTTAGCGTCTAAATTTCTCAATTTAGGGCCTGATTATCACTGCTATTTCATAGTTTATCTAATTTTCCATAGTATTTCTTCTATCTAATTTAGTAGTGTCAAGCTTGACAACTTCTGCATTGTTAGATAATTCCCACAAAACAAATCCCATGACTGATATATATATATATTTTTCAGGTTTTTAGGAATTAAAATAGAACTGACTACATGTTTTATGTCTCACATTATGACATCAGAAGAGAATATAGAATTAATTGACATATCCTGGCTGGTAGTTGTTTCACTTTTATGTTGCATTTGACTCTTCTTAGGAAAGATTGTTATTATTATTATTATTTGCTTATGTTAACTACAAAATATAAGTTATATTTAGGATCACCAACCCCATGATCAGTTCCTAGAAAGATTAAATTAGGCCTTTGACCAATGTAGGATTTCCAACTGATAGAGGATATATGCATTGTAAGTATATTAAAACTGGCAGGTCCATGTCAATTAAATATAGGAAAAAGTGGATCTGGGGGTTAATGATTAGGAGGAAGAAGCAACTAGCCAAAGTTGCAGACAATTTAGTTGTAAGCATGGGTGGACAAGGCTTTTGGGATATGCAAGTCTAGTACGAGTTGCAATTCTCTTTATCAGCTTTGGCCTTTTTGACCCAAAAGTCTTGTCCTTTTGGGAAATTATTGCCATGGAAAATCTGCCTAGTCTTTGACTCCTATATAATAAAAAATTAATGATAACTTGTTCTAAGATACTTGGAATGAGTTGGATATAATATTTATCAGACCAAATTGTGCCCCATTTCTCAATCGCAGCCCGTTGCATGTTCATGTGAATTTTATCTCTATGAAAGTAAAATATTTACTCTCGTTTCTCCTTGTATCATCATCGATTCTGCTAGTGAAAATACTGCACGTGCTCAGTAATAAATCGAAATAAAGTAGAGTTACAAAATGAAAATTCCTGAGTTAATAACATTAAATGTTTCACTTTCATAGGTATAAGAATTTTAATATAATTTTTTAAAATATAAAGATCGAAATATTAAAAATAATTAATTATAATAGATAATATGTAATTAATCCGGTTGGTGTGTGTCAAAACTAATTATGCTCTTTTTGTTTTTGACTTAAATATAAAAAAAAATTATTACTAACTTAAAATTCTTTGCCCATAAGCATTGGTGGCATTTCTAAGTGAGATAAAAAAATTTTCTGGATCATAAGATTCCACATGTAGAAAAAATAAATATATTATATTATTTGTTTTTTAAATTTCCGGTCAAGAGACACCAAACTAGATAGAACATAGATACGAACCTCTATAGAGAGGCCGAATCAAATAATTGACCTATAAAGAAAAGGGCACATGCAGACATCTTATCAAACCCCAAAGTCCTATCAACGTCCATATCGGTGTGAAGACTCACTCATTCCAAGCATCGCTTACTTTCTAAGATTCCATTTAAATGTGAGTCTAAAACTTAATTCTATATTGAATCGATTGTTACAAATCTTCTATATAATCATCTGACTAACCAAAGAGTACGTTAAAAAAAAAAAAAGTGTTCATTCTAAATCAAAGTAGACAAATTTTGGGACTATCACCAAAATGTTTTTATCTCATGCTAACCCTTTTCACATTAAGATTAATTCGTTAATTTTGGAGTCGGTTTCCACGAATTGTTTGTTATTGCCGTCTTAGATGTGTACTTCATAATTATGACACAATAAAAATATTAATTTTATATGTTGTTAATAAATTATTCTTTTTTAATCTTTCATGCTTATGCAATCTCTGATAGAAGATAAGATTTTTTTAAGAAATCTCTCTATTCTGTTGAGGGAAATCCTTTCTTCTAATCGAGAGGGAATATGTTAATGTATTGAAGCATTTTTCATTTCTTCAATAAAGCTTCTTCACTTCTTCAATAAAGTTTCTTCAGTAATTGTTCTTATCTTCTATTCTTCACTCTTGCCTTTGGCCAGGCCTTTGCTGTCTTCGCTGATCTGCCAACAGTCGGTGGACTTAAGGAGAACGAAGGGCGGACTTAAAGAGGAGAATAAAGGGAACGCCTGTGCCCTTATAGCAACAACAATCACAACAGCACAGAGATACGCTCTTGCCCTACTTATGAAGTCTTTCGTTTGCTCTTGCCCTACTTATGAAGTCTTTCGTTTGTAAACCATTCTTTGCATCGATCCAAGATTGGTATCCTTATCCAAGATCCAAGATTTGTAAATCTTATAGAAGATAAGATTTCCTTAACTATATAAGGAAATCTCTCTATTCTGTTGAGGGAAAAGGGAAAATAAAGCTTCTTCACTTCTTCAATAAAGTTTCTTCAGTAATTGTTCTATTCTCAACTTCTTTTCTATACTCATTATCTTATATTGTTAGGTAAGACATATTGTTAGTTATCAATTGCCACATCCAAGTTTTCCTTGTCAACGGGTCTTTCATGTCTACCACTAATACAAGAAAATTGGAATTCATGATATAAATTTCTCATTTCTCACGCAATATTTGAGCATTAACATTTGCATTTGACAATAATTTTCCCTTGCAAAGACCCAACGAGAAATTGTCTCGAAACATCGAGATTATTCCAACACTTTGGTAGAAGATTGTAGCCATTGGAAGCAGTCAACGCACTTGGCCATGTTTGATGACCCATCTTAGTTGCGAACGTGATAGCTTATCTCTAATCTGGTAGGCAATCAAATTGGTCCGACAATGACCTCAGGCTAAATGAAATAGCTGCATTCATTACTTCTGATCATTATATATAGTAGTTATGATCTTAATGAGAAGGCAAAGAGAATCATGCATGAGATACTTGTCAAGAGAAACTAGTTCATGTAATAGAGGAATGCCCGACAATAAAGTAGGTGTTGAGCAATCTGAAAATATATAAAATTAATATTTTTATTTATGAATAATTAGATATTATTTTGATCATATATAATGTTATCAATGTAAGAAGGATAGTAAGACTTTAGAAAGAGCATAATAATAAATTGTAAGTCCAAAACTAAATCGATTACATAAAAATTTTTATCGTTATTGAGATTTATAAAAAGTCATATGTTTAATTAAGTTTAGAGTATTTAAATCTTTATTTATAGTTTTCTATTAAAATATTTTTATGTCTTCCTTCACATCATCTTGTACTACTAATATTACTTAAATCTTTATTTATAGTTTCTATAAAGGTCTTTTTAAAATTTTCTCCACCTCTTCTTAACCACTAATATTAATTATTTCACATCTTTTAAATATCTATCCGAAGCTCAATATTATCTTAAATAATTTTTTCTCATCTTATTATCTTTTAAAGCGATAGTTAGTAATAACGAATAAAAGTATTTCTTTTTTTATTTTTCCTAATAACTTCACACATCCATCTTAATATTCTCATCTCAACAATATAAATTTTTTTATATTTTTTACTAATCGTCTAATACTCAAATCCATAAAACATTATTGGTTTCACAACTATCTTCTAAATTTTCTTTTAATCTCAAAGGTATTCGATGATTATACAAGACTCTTAATGCTCCTTATCATTTTAACCATCTTGATTTTACTCTATGAATAATATTTTTATCGATCTTTTTATCTTGTTAAATAATTGATTCAAGATACATAAGATTTTTATTTAAATGAACTTCTTGTGTATCCAAATTGACTATATTCTCTTATCTAGATTTACTAAATTATATTTTATGTATTTAGTTTTAGTTCTCTTTGATATAAAATCTTGCATCGACAGCTTAAGTTTATAATTAATTCTATATAGGCTCTCATCAAATCAACTAAGATAATATCATCAACAAATAATATATACTAGGGAGGTCTATCATGTAAATGACTAGTAAATTCATCAATTATCAATAAAAAAAATAGGAACTTAATAAAAAACTTACTATACACTCCTTATAATTCTTATACTAGTAGCTATATTATCATACATATCTTTAATAACATCAATATAATTAGTAGAGAAATCTTTCTTTTCTAAAATTTACCCTATCAAAGGCTTTCACTAAGCCAATAAACACTATATGCAAATCTTTCATTTTCTCATTATATTTTTTTTTATTTTTTAATAAATAAATAACTTCTATGGTTGATCTTCCAAGTATAGAACCAAATTATTTTTTTAAAATATTTATTTTAAGCTTTATCCTACTTTCAATAATTCTTTCTCAAAATTTAATAGTATACCTCGCGAGTTTAATTCATCTATAACTTAAATAATTTTGTATATCATCTTTACTTTTATAAATTAATATAAAAAAATCTTTCTTCATTATCAAGCATTCTTCTGAATCTTATGATCTTATTAAATAAATTAGTTAATCAAGTTATTCCCTTATCCCTTATATTTTTTCAAACCTCGATAAGGGCACTCTTAACTATTTTAATCTTCTTTAATACATTACTTATTTCATTAGCTCTAATTTTATGAATAAATATATAATTATTAAATCTACTACTATTATTTATCATTAAATCTAGGCCTAAATGCAATATTCATTAAATAATTTATAAAACTAATTTTTCATCTTTGATCATCATCTTTAATTCATCTAATATTACCTAAATTCATATAATTTCTTTTTCTAGCTTTAACAATTTGATATATATATATATATATATATATATATGTGTATATATATATATATATGTATATATATATATATATATATGTATATATATATATATATGTATATATATATATATATGTATATATATATATATATGTATATATATATATATATATGTATATATATATATATATGTATATATATATATATATGTATATATATATATATATTCATCATCTTTAGTACCTAATTTATTATAAAAATTATCATAAACTTTGTATCTTATCATATTAACCATTTTAAGCCTTTTTTTAGATACTTTATATCTTTTTTTTTTTCTTATTTTTATAGTTTTACTAATCTTTAAAACATGATATCTTAGTAAAAATTATTTTCTCAACTTTCTCACACTATCACCATCTTAAGGTTTTACATTTACCTTAATTGTTAAGCTCATAGTGTTATTAACTATTGTGGTTCAAATAATATTAATATTATCCTTATCTAAGTTCTAAATTACCTCTCTTTCCATCTTAAAAATATTTACATTATTATTTTTAAAATTTTACCATCTAAATCTTGTAATTTTTTTTCTATTATTTTTTTTATTTTCTATAGTAAATATCTACTACATCAACCTATTTTCTATAGTAAATAAACTTTCTTATAAATAACTTTATCTACTAGTCTAGTGAGAAAAATGTTTATTTAACTATAGTTATGACCACTCCTATAAATAATTAAATATTCATATATCTTCTTAATGTAAGTATTTACAATTATAAGAACATGTAAAATCTAAAATAATACTATCATCTTTATTTCTCTCCCCACAATCAAAACCCCTATGTAACCCTTTATATTTACCCTAAGTTTTTCTACTATTTAAATCTCCTTGGATTATAAGTTTTTTTAGTTATAAGCATTCATTGAATAATATTTTCTAAGCCTTTTCAAGATTCTCTTTTGGTTTGATCATCAAATCTAACTTGAGGTGCATATGCTAATAACATTCAAAACATCTGTCTTTTCATAAATTTTAAAACTATAATTTTATCTTCAAATTTTTTACATCTACAATATTATTCTTAAGATCTTTCTCATCAATAATTCCTATATCATTTCTTTGTTTAAATTTTCTAGTATACTAAATTTTAAATCAAATATTATCGATCTTTTTAGATTTTTTTCTCAACCCACTAAGTCTTTTGTAGGCGAATAATATTTATTCTTATTATAGTATCCATCAATTCGAATCCTTTTTCTAAAAATATTCATATATTTCAAGTTAATAATCTAGTCCTATGTTGGATTAACTTCTTTACTCTCATTAGTCCAAAACAATGAGAGAACCCTTATCTACTTGATACCACATCGGAGCGTCAATGTGATGGGCTACTTTTGGACAACATTTTACAATTCAAGACACTTTAGGTGTTACTTCTAGGTGATGATCTAGCCATATAATAAAGTCAATTTAGATTCATATGAATGAGATCTAATATAGTTTTATACTTGTTGTTAGGATATCTAATATAAAATATCAGTGACCTAATGTAACCCTCCAATTTTTTCATCTGAACCGGCTTTAGCAATGTTGAAAATTAAGTTATATATACTCTTTGATTTAAATAAGTAGAGGAGAATAAACTATTAGCAAAATGACAACCTAAAGAATTAATAATAAAGTATAAATCAAAATAATGAATACTTTTACCTATCAATAAACATAGAGAATAAAAGATCCCACTTGAGTTGGGAGTTTAATGCATCTCAAGTCGAAAATCCTTGTAAGCTATCTTATAAATCTTAAATATTTTTTATTTTCTTCTTGAATTTTCTCTCGTATAAATCTTAAATAAAATTTTTTATTCTCGATTTTTCTAGAATAAAAACTTCAATGATAAGCAAAATATGTTTCTTTCGTTCCTCCTTGTATTAAAACTTTGAGATGATAAATTTTGAAGAGTACATTTTATTTTTCTTATGAGTTTCTATAGAAGAAAAACTTTATAGAGTTTCATTCACACCTACTTATACCAAAACTATGAAAGTGACACCTAATTTAACTCATAAAAATGTTGATAATTTATCATAAGATCCTGAACTCCACCCTTATCACTTATCCCTTGAAAAAAAGAATCTTATGATGTTGGAACTTTGAATCATATTAAGGAATTGAAAACACTTCCCAACCTTAACTTGTAGAGCTCAATCACAAGTAAAAGAAAGAGGCCAAAGAGTTAGATTTCAAACAGTAGACATTAGGGTTTCTTCGGCTTACTCATAACCTCTCCCCTCATCTGGTCCCACAAAGACATCACCAGCCGGACCACCCGGTCCCACCACCATGCATGGATAGAAAGAGCACGTAGAATCATCGACATGATAAAGCTAAAGCTTCAGCGTTAAGGGTGGGGGTGGCGGGGTCGACGTCCAACTCATAAAGCTAAAGCTGCCTCCTCCTCTGTTCCTCTGACAAAGCAACAGCCCCCCCTCCTCTCTCTCTCTCTCTCTCTCTCTCTCTGTGAATGATATCACCAGGTCTCCAACGTGGCCATCACCTCTTCCATGTGCAGCCATATATCTGAACAAAGGATCACGTACGCATCCTCTATTCCGATTCCTCTTCCATCTCTGCTGTGCTTCCCGCTCCTTTCTTCCACTTGGCATCAACCTACCATTGTTCTAAGGACTAGCCCGGAAGACGAAAGAGTTCGTCTTGGTCTTTTTGACTCAATTTTGACTGTTTACAGATGTTTTCCTTTTTCTTTTTTCCTTGTCAGTTTCAGTGCTTATATGTTTCTGTGTCTGCTTCAACGACTGGCCTCGGTCTTCGGTTTCTTGTATGGATCTCGGAGAGTGAGGTATAGCCCTCTTTTGCTTTTATCTTCTTCATTTCCTTCATGCGTAGATATATGTCCGAGTGAGGGCTCGGATCGGATGTACATATTATGGAGAAGATGAAGAGAGGATAATTCAGCTGTTGATGAGATCCAACAACAAGCTGTGCAAAGTAAAGTGGTCGGCTGCTTCTCTGTCTGCTGTTGATGACTGTGGCTGTTCATGTGTTCGATCATGAGTGCACATGGACAGATTCTGTAGCTACCTAGCAGAAAGAGGACCAGTACTATATGTTGGATCAAAGAGGATATATATATATATATATATACCGTGTCATCATGAACTTGAAACTACTTTATGCTTTTGATTACTTTCACTGTATGATTAGGTCAGATAATAATAGAAATTTTACTTCCTTTTAAGAACACATTACATACAATATATATAGTGCATTTGAAGAGCTACATGCATCAACTGTTGGTGTCATACTGTATATCAAACACCTACCAATATATGAGAAGATATCCATGCATGATGATGGCTTTAATCTGCAAGAGATCATAGCTAAAATTGCAGAAAACACTAGGTCTGGCAAGCAATGTAAAAGTTGGGCCAAAAATGTATTCAGATGAGAATTCAGAATTCTTAATGTTCTGAATGCTTAATGTTCATGAGCTTCTTTTACTATCAATCTCATGGAAGAATCAGCAGTGCAGGTGAAGAACTGATGAAGCAGACTTAAGTTCATTATATCACCTGAGTCACACCCTTCTCTTTCATCTGTTCACATCACTCGAATTGTAAATGAATTAGATTGTTGTTCTGTGTCAGGATTGTTAGATGACAAACACATCTACCATAGCTAGAATTGGCAGGAAGATTATAGCTAGTCCAACACAACTGAAGTGAAATTAATTATGGTCTGCATGTCAGATATACACATACATGCATGAACTCAAACACCAAGTTCTCTCTCTCTCTCTCTCTCTCTCTCTCTCTCTCTCTCTCTCTCTCTACACATATATATATATTACGGTGGGATACAATGAGAAGGGAATATGAAAAAGCTACATCTAAAATGTAAAACGAATAGGAGAAATCTACCTACCATTTTCTAATGATCTTGATCAGCATGTCGAACACGTCCACCATGCATTAGGAAAGTCTTGCCAGTGACCAATTTATGTTACTGATTCATTCCATCTTTAATTCTTCTCCAATTGATGAAGGTCATTCTTTCAAGTCTTCCAAGGAATGAGCCTAACAGAAGAAGCCATGGATCGAATTATAGGAACTTGTCTGTCAACGAGGAGCTGAAGCTAGAGAAGCCCGTTGCTGTTGCCCATCCACCATTACCACTGCCTCCTGCACTGCCACCCCATATGAGATCGTGCCTTGGAAGGCCAAGCTCTTGTGCGTTGTCGTCCATCTTAGTCGAAGCCAATTGCATGAGGAACCCCGAGCTGGGCACTCTGGTTGGAACTAGCGCCGCTAATGATCGCCCGTCACTGCCACTACCTTCTCCAATAAACGACGGATATAAGCTTTGAAATGGCGTCAGTGATGGCGTTCGTGGTGGCGGTGGCGGTGGAGGCTCCAACCCACCCATGATCGAAGGGAATTGCCGGATGTGCTGATGAAGCCTCAAGTTCTCCAGTCCAACACTGTGGCTGCCGGGCACCTGATACTCTACTGCATCAAAGGATTGGATCCCGTCGAATCCGAACCCTAGGTTCCGTGTTCTGCAGTCCGGCGGTGGGTAGAACGAGGACATAAGCGGCGACTGCTGTTGCTGCTGCAGGGTGATGCCGGATGTCGTTGCACCTGCTGCTATGGTCGACGAGGGTGAACGACTCTGGCGATAGGCGGCCGTGACTGCGTTCTTCGCGGAGCTGCTGCTACCGGACTTGGTCCTCTTGTTCCTCCGGCAGCCACCGCCGACGGGAACGTTACGGAGGGCCCCGCCACGCGTCCAGTAACGTCGACACGCCTTGCAGAAATGGCGGGGCTGCGATAGGGAGTAGTTGTTGAAGTAGCAGAACTTGGTGTTACTGGAGTCGCACCGAGGGCACCTGAGCGCTTGCTCCGGCTGGCCGATCTTTGCGAGCCGAGCGCGTTCCGCCATCGACCCTGGCCTGATCGAACCAACCATTCCGCCTTCACCGCGTGGTGCTCCCACCAGGCCATGTGGCGGTGGTGGTGGGAGCTGCGGAGCCTCATTTCTGCCACCACCGGTGCTGCTGCCCAGCTGAGGAGCATGTAGCTAAAGACACAAGCGTTACTAGTATATCCAGGAGGACATATGGAAAAGGCTGAGAATATTACTCTCCCTCGTATTATGCTTTGGGGATGTAAAGAGAGGATAAGGGCTCACCTGGTTCCAGTTAGGTGGATCTACATAAACAGGAACAGAAGGAAGAACCATGGTCGGCTGCTTTGAGCTCCTTTTGGAGTTTGCTTCTCTTTCCGCAAAAGGTTGATGGGGTTGAGAGGTGGTGGATAATCACATCCACTAGGGTTTGCAGAGAGAAGAGAGCAGCGAGATTGAAGTACAAGAAGAAAGGAAGGAGCCACACATTTCTCTCTTGTTGTGGCTTTCGTGTCTCGATTTCCTTGAATTGGTTGATTGGGGATGGTATATGGGATGGGATGCGACGGGATGGGAAGGGAAGCGAAGAAGGGGGGGGGAGGGGGGGGGTGGAAGAGAGAGAGAGAAAGAGAGAGAGAGAGAGAGAGAGAGAGAGAGAGAGACTTCGCCTTTAAGCTTCTTGGCCAAAGATTAGTTGTGTGGAGCTGTGGGGAGCTTTAGTGGCTGCTCCTGC